TTTTTTTTTTTATTAGAAAAAAACATGTGTCCTTTTGAGACAGGTCCTCATGCATCCTAGGCTGGCTCTGAGCCTCCTGATCCTTCTGCCTCTACCGCCCCCACATGTAGGGCTTACAAGCAGGTACCACTGTGCCTGCGTTCTTAAATTGTCTTCACAGTTTTTTCTGACACTCCTATTTTGTATTTTGTATTATGCTGTAGTGTGTGTGTGTGTGTGACAGCACATGTGTAGGACAACTTTTAGTAATTAGTTTTTCCCTTTTACCATGGGTTCTGGGGATCAAACTGAGGAAATCAGGCTTTCAAGACTTCCACCTACTGAGCCAACTTGCCAATTTATGATTGTTTTTTCCCTTGAAACTTTAAAATTCCATATTGTCGTGTGGAAGGCACCACCTTGCAGGAACTATGAAATGTCTGTCTTTTTCCTTTGTAGGAAATGATGAGCAAGTTATCCTCCATGATGTTGAAAGGTAAATAAACTATTAATGTGTAAAGATGACTGACCATTTTTTAGATGAACAAAGGCAAATATCTCCTTAGACATGTATTTTAACTTTGGAAAAAAATAATATGGAACAATGTTAGTTATCTAGAAAAAAAAGATTCCTATAATAGTTTCAGTATTATTTGGAAAAAAAAAAGATTTGCAAAGTTGGCATACAGTTAGAGATAAGAGGGAAGGATTTTCCTCTTTATGTTTATTATTTATACATAATATAAATGATATAGTAATATAACATATTTATTGAGTTTTTACTATCATGTACCAGGCACTGTTCAAGGGATTTTCTTGTATTGATTCATTTAGCCTTCACAAGAAGAAACATTTAACCATGACAAGAGGGAACAGAGGCCCAGAGCTGTTAGGTGACTTAAGGTCAGGTGATGCCAGGACTTGTGCACCAGCTTCTGTCTAGCTCAGAGTGGTGCTGTTAACTGCCATGCTAGTCTCCTGGGAGGCCTTCTCTATGTCTGCTGTCAGTAGGTCTAGCTGCTTTAAAACCTCCCCTTTGTTTTTGGAAATCTAGTACCACCCTCAAATCTCCATACAAGTGATAAGTGGAAACACAAAAACTCACTTTTAAATATTCTTAGAATGAAAATTAGGAAATTTATGAAAGTAAACCTTTAAACACACACATACATACTTTATGCATACATATTATATACTTTGAACACTACCTCTGAGCTAAGTCCGTATCTTGTTGGTTTATTTGGGTTGAATGTCTCCTGGGAATGAAAGAAACTGAACCCTAGGTAGGTTCCCAGGGGCTGGGCCTCTGCACCCCGTATGTGCCTATGTGCTTTTCTCCTCTCTGTTTCTCAGCAGTGAGACCCTGGATGTGTTTGCTCATGAAGATGCAGTATATGGCTTGTCAGTGAGCCCAGTGAATGACAACATTTTTGCCAGTTCTTCAGATGATGGCCGGGTTCTCATTTGGGACATCCGGGAGTCTCCCCATGGAGGTAGGCCATTGTGTATCAAGTTCATGGTATATTTGCTTTATAATCTCTGAATAACATCCAGAGAAAAGAAATGTAGGCCTCTCACATGCAGCACAGACACTGCACCTCCATAGGTGCTTTTTCAGTTTCTGAGTGGAAGACTTGTTCTGTCAACTCTCAAGTTCCTCAAGAAATGCATCTTCTTAGCTTCTTTCTTGAAGAGTGATTTCTCTTACTGTCACCAAAGGCTGTTTCTTCTAGTTCTACCGTCATGCCCACCTCTGTAGTGATCAAACTAGTAACTTGTAAACCCACAGTTACTATCTTGCCTTCTTTGTTTGGCAGGACCTCAGTCTGTGTTCCTCATATATCAGACATTTACACTGAAGGGCTGTCTCAAGGTTCAGGATATAAAGAAGCCTGTCCTTGGGGTCGGCAGAGCAGCTCACAAAGGACTGCATCTGTGGCTGCATCGTGCTTGCATGTAGACCATTTTCTGTTCTGCATTGCCTGATGGCTGAGGTGGCTAAGTGCTTCCTGTGCGCAGGGTTGTGCACAACCGTATTTACAAATCATAGATGAAGAGGTGCTATTTTTGTTTGTTTTTGTCTTGATTGATTGTAACAGATCCCAGAGAAGAATATTCTTTCAAGGTAGCAAAGTGATTCTTTCCTCACAGGGAGCAAAGGGGTTCAGGAGTTCCAGGTCAAGTTGATTAGGGATTGTCTGGATTCAAGGGCAGCTCAAGTGTTAAACTTGTAACTCAGGTTGGTCTTGAACACTCAATCCTCTCTCAATTACAGAAAATGGGGTACCAGGCTCTTTTTTTCTTTTTTTTTTTTTTTTTTTTTTTGATACTGGAGGTCAAAGTCAAACACAGTTTTGCCCTAACCATTCAGGTATTATCATGAACCAGAAGGGAAACTGTATTATTGCTTGCCTTGCCTTGCCTTAATTTTAATTTTTCTTTTTTTCTTTTTTTGAGACAGGGTTTCTCTGTGTAGCCTTGGCTGTGCTGGACTCGCTTTGTAGACCAGGCCGGCCTCAAACTCAGAGATCTGCCTGCCTCTGCCTCCCTGAGTACTAGGTTTACAGGTATATACAACTGTGCCTGGCTTATCTTAATTTTTTACTGTTCACTTTGTCTTCATTAAATTAATTTGTGTATAAAACTTGCAATTTTATAAATATTAAAGGAATAATAACTTTACCATGAAAATTTTGAAATTTTTCTCAGTGGAATTCATTTTTACTTCTGTAAACAGCTGACTTTCCCTTTGAAGCTAAATGGGGATTGCTCTTGTGGGGCTCAGGGAGACATGAAGATAGGTGCCTCATGGGTTATGCTTGCCACAGCAGTGATAGAGTGGTGTCTCAGGTGACATGATTGTAATTTCTATTTTCACAGAGCCCTTCTGCCTGGCAAACTACCCATCAGCCTTTCACAGTGTCATGTTTAACCCTGTGGAGCCCCGGTTATTGGCCACAGCCAATTCAAAGGAAGGAGTGGGACTGTGGGACATTAGAAAGCCTCAAAGGTAAGTCCCCTGACTCAGAAGCACTTCAGACATGCATTTTTTCATTTCTCAGGGAGTAGAATCTGCAAATGTTTCAAGAACCTGTATAGCAACTGAGCTCAGTTGGGCATCTCTTAAAATGGTCTGCTTATTTAAAGCCAGGAGAGACTACTACTAAGTATCAGATGGATGAGAGACCCACTCTGCTTCCTGTGAAGTCAGAAGTTTTAGTCTGGGACTCTAGACAGAGTCATTCCTGGGCAAGTATGAAATGTTAAAAGCCTCCCTTGTCCCCTCCCTACTTGCCCAGGAGCTTGGGTGGGGGGTATGGGTGGAGTGTTCCAAGCTAGGGTTTCTTCAGGCCACAGGATGTCCCTCCTACCTAACTCCCAAAATTAAATGTGCTATCTATTAATGTATATATAGTTTTTGACAAAATCACAAAAGGATTAGTGTGTACAAGTTAACAGCTAGTATTGTGTGATACTAGGGAGCTAATTTGTTTTTCCTTTTTTGTTTAAGTAAGTATACTGGCACAGTTCTGAAACACTAATTAAGGGATTCAGGAGTCATTAAAGTTATTAAAAGAGGCTCTTTTTTGTCCCCGAAATCCTGTGAGGGGGGCAGGGCCTCTTTTGGCACTTAGACATAAAACTTGACTTGTTTATAAAAGGCAGTTAACTTCTTTGGAAATCTTGTGTGGAGATAAAACTCTGTGAAACAGTATTGCAGGATGGCGTGCATAGTAAGCAGGGTTCTCATTTATTTAACGGGCCTTTGATGAAACAGCAGTTAAATACAGAGGATTACCTTCCTTGATTTTCAGTACTGGCTGATTCTCTTCACAGGGTAGTTGGAGTTCAGGGAGTTGAAAGTACTGCAGCAGAGTTGTTTAGCAGGGTTCCCTGAGGCTCCACAGGGTTGAGGAGATTGCTTCTCCACTCTATTGCACATTCCCCCCCCCCCTGCTGATTTTCTAGTGCACATGTCCTTTGCACTGTGCGCCTAAAGAGGGCACTGTCTGCAAAGAAGACAGTCTCTTAGGTTCAGCTTAGTGCTCTCTGCTGGTTCAGAACTATGATTCTATCTAAAAGACAGACTTTGGGTCAACTATTTGGACCAGACTTCTCCCAGCTTGCTTGTCCGCTCTACCTAGAATTGCAATGGATAGCTGGCAACTGGAGTGGAGCACTGAGGTGGTCTCCAGCTGAAAGCTTGAGTGGTTTATGATGTCACAGCAGTATCTGAGAGGAGTGTGCTAGTGTCTTCATTCTCATCCTCCCCCAGATTCCCCAGCCAGTTCCCTGCTATGTGCTGGTTGAGCCCTGTTTCCCTTTCCTCTTGGCTCCTCACTGAATGTGGTTTCTTTTAGAATTCCTAAGACATTGTCATGTTTGCTAGGTAGTAGGAAGAAGGTAGAAGGATATTTGGGAGCAGTTCTAGGTCGGGCCCTTGTGTAAGGGTGATGTGCAGAGGAAGAGACGGGGGTGGGAGAACAGGGCCTGTAGGAGGGGCCCAGGCCCCTGACTGATGATTACCATTTTACTTATACAGTGACATATGTTGAATTTAGAGCTTTTATGTAGGAAAGTGTAGAGAAAAGAGGAAAAATCCATTTGAATGTACATTAGTTTTTGTTTCTTCTTCTTAGTCTGTAGTCACTCTCTAAAGTCACATTAAATACATTAAATACAGTGAGTGCAGTGAACAGTTTATGTGTCTTTTTAGAATATAATTTAATGCTGATACAAGTAAGTATGTATGAATGAAGGAGACATGTAATAATACACATGCTCAACTTCCCCCCATTTATTTATTGTATGTGTGTGTGTGGGTGCATGCACACTCATTCATGTTCCACAGTACAAGTGTGGAGGTTGGAGGACAACGTGTGGGAGAGAGATCTTCCTCTACCATATGGGCCTCAGGGGTTAAACTGGAGATCATCAGGCTTGTCTGTCAGCAAGTGCCTTAAACCTCTTTCATCTCCTGGCCCCCACCTTTTTCTTCTTTTTATTTGTTTGTTTGTTCTTAAGGGAGAGTCTCAGTTTGTAGCTGTGGATGTCCTGGAACTATGTATATCAGGCTGACCTTAAACTCACAGAAAGTTTAAGGAAGCACCCACACCCAGCTAGCTCAATTTCTTTTTTCAGTTCATAGTCTATATTAGAGATCTTTTCATATGAGCACTTACAGATCTGGCACATTCTTCAAGAGCTACATATTCCATTAGTAGTATGTACCTGAAAGCTAAACTTGTTTCTTATAAACAATGCTGTGTTGAACTTGGTTTGAACTGTTTTGACGTACTTTTGCAAAATGCCTGTGAGGAGTTGATACATAAAGGGTGTGTTTCACTTTAAAATTATTTTTGTGTATTTTTATGAAGGTGAGAGGGTGGGTACCATGGTAAGCATGTGGGGTTAGAGAACAGTGTGCAGAAGTTGGTTTTCTCCTTCATGTGGGTTCAGAGGATTAAACTTGGGTCAGGTTGCAGGCTTGGTGGCAAACGCCTGTATCCCCTGAGTCCCTGGAGGTAGGATATGGTATTTAAGTTTCCCTCTCTCTTTTCTTTCCTTCCTTTTAATTTTTAATTTTTTTTTTTTGAGACTGCATTTCATGTAGCCCTTGCAACCCAGACTGAGCTTGAGCTCCTATCCTCTACCTCTTTTGAAGCTTAGGATCATCAATATGAACTGTCACTCTCAGTTCCCTCTCTTCCTCCCTCCTTTCTTCCTTTCCTTCCCCTTTGTTTTCTTCTATCAGGAATGTACTGTGTAACCTAGGCTGGCCCTGAAATTTAAAAAATATACTACTGTTATTATTTTTACTATTTTTCATACTCCCACTACTCTTGCCTTTATTGTGGGGAGTATACTTATACCATGGCATGTGTATGGAGGTCCAAGGACAACTTTGGAGAGTCAGTTCTATCTTTTTGCTGAGGGATCTGGGGATTGATCTTGGGTCTTCAAGCTTGTGTTGCAAGAGTTTTTACCCACTGACCATCTTGCCTCCCTAGATATTGAACTTTGATCTTACTGTCTCTACCTCCCAAGTGACTACAAATGTGTGTCATCATGCCTGAGGAAGGTGTTTTTGAATTTTTTATAAGAAAGTCAAATTGAACCCTCACCACAAAAGGCAACAGTGATTTAAAATTCTCCCAGCTATATTTAGACCTGTATCAACAAACTGATGCTAGTCTTCTAGGGTAGATAATACTTATTGTTTTAATTTTTTCTAAAGTTATGGCTGGAATTTTGTGTTTTCTTTGGTAACCTATAGGTTTTTAAGCACATTCAAAAGAAAAGCATCTAATAAGGTCGGTGGCAATCTAGACTGATTCTGTTTTTGGAACCATGAGAATGAGATCTCTGCCTTGTTATTTCAGCTCTTCTAGTGTTCTTACAGGGCTCTGTTGGTGCTGGGATGAAAGGGACATGGAGTACTCTCAGAGCCTTCTTAACTTCACATGTGCTGGAGTTAAGGGGCTCAGTTACAGCTCCTCTCTGTCTGAATCCCCTCAATACAAGTTGGTATAGAGAAGGGAGAGAGGGCTGTCAGTCTTTTAAGGCTTGAACAGGATAGATCCATTTCAGAGATACTCACAGAAAGAGATATTAGGAGTCTTGTAAATCCCTTATAATTGCAAATAAAATTATAACTAATCTGAAAGATCACATGCAATATTTTTTTTTTCCTCAAGGACAAAAAGATTTCACTTGGTGCTGTAGTGCATGCCTATAGTCATGCCTACAGGAGACAGAGGCAGATGGATCTCTTGAGTTCAAGGCCAGCCTTGTCTGTAGAGTAAGTTCCAGGAGAGCCAGGGCTACACAGAGAAACCTTTTCTCCAAAAACCAAACAAACTAGAGCTAAATGATATTATTGCACTGGGAATGGTAGTACACACCTTTGATCTCAGCACTTGGGAGGCAGAGGCAGGTGGATCTCTATGAGTTGGAGGCCAGCCTGGTCTACATAAGGAGCTCCAGAACAGCTAAGACTACATAGTGAGACTCTGGCTTTAGTTTTTTGTTGTTGTTGTTTAAAATAAAGGAAAAAAAAAAGAAAAGCTTTTTATCACGTTTCGTGGAGACCTCAACCCAGAAAGATAAGTTGCTTGAGATCCTGAGGATTCTAGGTGTAGTCTGCTGTGATTCTGTACTAAGTTTATAAGTTATCTCCAATTTATAATAGTGTGGGTGTGGGTGAATTCAAGGCCTACTCTGAAGAGCTATTGAACTCATAGAAATATAATTTTCTTAAGAGCTATGAAAAGGCCCTTCCACTGAATACCTCTCTTTCTAGCCCAATTTATGGGTATAGAGTTGGTCAGCATTTTCTTTTGCCTTCTCCTAAACCAGACTGCTCCACTTTAGCTTGAAGCTAGTAAAGTGTATGAACACCGTCATTCTGTTCCACTGCTGCCCTGAAATAAACCTATGAGAGCCTGGTTAGCAGAATAAAAGCTTAGGGGGGTACAAAGGACTTGGGTTAGCATCTGGTCTGAGTTCCTGAGGGAACTATGCAGGGAGAAGCTGAAGAGCTTGAGTTTTTCCAGCGCAGGTGTGAAGCGTAAAGACACCAGCAGTATAGATCAAGGCAGCAGACGTTAGGGCGCATGTGACCCTGAGCTGAGCTGAGCTATGTCATGATTCATTACCAGGAATAATGACAATTATGCCTCATCACAGGCCTGTGCCACCACATGTGACTAGGTTCTAAGTTCTGTCTTTTAAAAAATACTTTTCTTTTAAAAATTATTTTATGTGTGTGAATGTTTTGCCTGCATATATGTATGTGCACCACTTTGAAAAGTTAAAAGATTTTTATATATCATTGGACCCTTTTTTTCATAGTAACAGGCAAAACTTATAGGTTCTCCTTCACTTCTTGATATATTCAGGGTCCCATTATTTCTTGAAAGCTTAATATTAGTTTTGAGTCCTCAGATGACTTGCCTGGCCCTATAGACTTACAGTAAGTTTAGCTTTAGGAGTTTGGGTGTTGATGCC